TTAAATGTAGAGAAACCCCTAAGCTAAAGATAGGTGACACTGAATGACGTTTAGTTTTCTATAAGTGACACCTGGTGGTAACGATAAGGGGTTAGTTTGGGTGTTCTTTCACGCTAACTAACTCTTAGTTAAAGGATGGTTTAGGGGTCGTTAATGTACGTTACATTAGGCAAAGTTTAAACGTGAATTGACTCTTATACCTACGGGTTGCAGGTGACGTGAATGTCCTAGCGCTGGACGCGAGCTCCCTGCTGGGCTGGCGGTACCTGCGCGCCACCACCATGGTGCAGTTTATAGGGGAGCAGCTCGGGAAGCTACTGGCTTCACTTGTTAAAGGTGACCACTTCTTTATGCGGTAGGGCACAAATGAGGAGACAGATCACACAGACAGGACGCCTGATGATCAATCGAGGGCGCTTAATATTACGTCATCCTAATTTGCTGATAGTAAATTATACTTAGAAAAGAAATGGTTTGCTCAACTTAGTTCATTGGCGCATTAGGTCCACTTTCTTTGTAAAATTAAGCATAGTAACATTTTAATTTATTTATATAATTTTCAGCCGGCCTCCGTCGATCTAACATCCATTTAATTGGACATAGTCTTGGCAGTCACATATCCGGGTTCGCGGGCAAGACGTTCAAGACATTAATCAAGCACCGCGTCGGCCGGATTACCGGATTGGACCCGGCTGGACCATGCTTCTCTGACGTGAATGTCACACTGAGGCTCAATAAGAAAGACGCTCGGTTTGTTGATGTCATTCACACTGACGCTGGAGTGTATGGGATCGCTGAGAGAGTGGGTGAGTTACATAATAGATTAAATGGTTTTAGATAATTAAATACTTGTATAAACTACTGCGGAAGTCGAGACTGGGTGTGACAAAACGAACCCGAATCTAAAAAACATAAAAGATATAAACAAACATATACGATCTTCACGAGCAATATTGTTACAGGTGCTCGTTGATTTACTCAGGTTCTTAATTCTGGAAACAAATGACCTCGACATAGCCTGTCCTTCTGTATATCTACTAACATTCCCCTATTCTAATTAAGAGCATTTCATTATCAGGCCATGTGGACTACTTCCCGAACGGTGGTTCCAAGCAGCCGAGCTGTCCCCCGACCCACCTGCTGGACTCCTGCAGCCACAGCCGTGCCTGGCTGCTCTTTGCAGAGTCTGTCACCAATCCAGGCGCCTTTGTCGGAGTTGCCTGTCCAGACTGGGCCGCATTTCAAAACCAACAGTGTAATTATTCTGATTTGAGGTGAGGACTTCATTTACGTTGTCTGTTTTTTTACGTTGCCCCACACTATGATTTCCTGTATTCTCGTTTATTTACATACAAGTTCCCATACACATGACCCGGATAACACTCTGTGGATCACACAAAGAGTTGTTCCGTGCGGGAATCGAACACGCGACATGTTGCGCGGCAATCAGTTGCCCAACCACCGCGCCTACCGTGCAGTTGTCACGTTTTTATAACAGGATGCTTCTTTTGTGCGTGTTGGCAACGAACTTGGACTAAACGATTGATGATTGATGCTGGTTGTTTGCCATCAGGAGATCCGTCTACTCGTTTGGTCGCTATTATTGCCCATTCTATGAATAATGTGTTTAAGAGAATCTTTGCTATTGCAATGTCCTTTTTGGAATTCGTTACTAAAAACCATCTTTAAGACAATATCATTGGGGTCCGTATCATGATATTCGAAAATGGTGATAAAATGCTCAGTTGTATAACTCCAAAATTAAGTTCGCCATCTACTTAATTACTTTTTTCTCCTCAGCCCAATGGGTTTGGCCAGCCGACCAGGGACGCGAGGCACCTACTACCTCAGCACAGCAGAGGAGTCTCCTTACGGCCAAAGTGAAGACGGCATCAGGTTCGTCAAGAGCGAGGGTGTCTTCCGGTTCTTCACGGATATCTTCTCAATGTTCACCGGGCAACGCTGACGCAACATCGAACTGGACATATTATGGTTCTCAAATTCCCGATTCCGAAAAGGCCGGTAACGTATTCGTAATAACTTCTTTAGTTGCGACTGTCTATGGGCGGTGCTGGTTGTTTACCATCAGGCGATCTGTCTGCTCGTTTACTACCTTATGCTATTAAAAAGTCAGAGACTTATAGGCCTCAGTTCTTACGAGCCTGAATGGGCCCCAATCACGGGTCTTGGGTCGTTTAGGCCCAGTCCAACTACAGTCTGATAATTAAAAGTTATGTGTAACTCTATTGCTAAGTGTTTCTTGCCCTTTATAGATTTTATTTTGAATTTTCGCAGTTACAGTATGATTAATTGCCCTCACAATAGATGAGAGACCAATATACTGGGTTGTGTAAAGTAACTCCTAGACCTTTTTGCGCAAGTAAAGTAGCGACAACTAAAAGATACTCTTAGTATGTTATCCGCCCGTTGTCGAGGCCGCGATGCAACAAACAATTAGAAAAAGAACCATAACATAACA